TGTTAACCAATTTTTAGAGAAATCATTTTTTTGCAAAAAATCAATTACTCTGCCTTAATTTAAAGGTGATTCTTTAATATTAGCAACCTGGTACCTGAGGCAATAGAATCTTAACTAAATTGAAAGAAATTTTTTAAAAAATGTCAAAATCTTGGAAAGAGAGAAAAAAAGAGGAAAGAGAGAAAAAAGAGGAAAGAGAGAAAAAAAGAGGAAAGAGACAAACAAATAAAATTTAAAACCAGATTTTTGTCTTAACCAGACAAACAGTTCAAACTTTGCATTTTGCCCCAACCGTCTGTAAAAATAAAAATTTTTCCGGGAAGCCATTGACTTTTCATTGAATCAGATTAATTGCCATGATTAATGAAATAAATTAATAAATTAAATTACTGATTGCTAAAGTTAAAAATAAACAGATCAATATTTCTTGAATCAGATGATAGTAACTTTATTATTAAAAAAAAAAAAAATAATTTAATCCAACATCTTTATGGGTCATGCAGCATTAATTATCATTCCTATTACAAACAGAACTTCCTTTCAATTAAGAAAAAAGAAAAAAAGATATAGTGTTAACTTTTATATACTAATGTTTCCCCCCAATAGAAGGCCCAAGAGTAACTCAAGGTAAAGGATTACTGTGTAGTGTTGCATGAGTATAAGAAAAGTCCAGAAGTGCAGTTTGTGTGGTTATGTAGGAAAGATAAAGTTTCGCCATAGACAAGAAGAGGTCAAGAGATTGTAGTGATTGGGAGGTTTGTTCCATGAGGCAGCAATTATTGTGAAGAAGCTGTACACATGGGACTAACTTCTTATTAATGGAATACAAAATGAATGAAGATGATTCACACTTGTGTATATGACATGGTGGGTCCCAGTTGGAAAGAATTCTTAGATTGTTTAAAGGCATATTATGGGTCATTTTATGCTGAAATTTCATTTTCTTAGAAGCTTGGGTAGTTTTTTTTGTTTTTTTTCCTGTCCAAAAGGGTAGTGGAGTTTCTTGTAAAAGACAGAGATTATCAATTGTAAAATTCATGCAGGGAATTTATCAGGAGCACCACCACCCTATCTAAACATTACTAATTTGATTATATTTTTTTTGTTTTTTATGGTTTATCAACCCTTTGTGGGTTATTTAAGCCAAAACATTTTGGCAAATGTTTCCTTATAAGCAAACGGGTAATATCACCATTATCAACAGTAGTAAATATTTCGCACAACTTTATAATCTTACTGAACAAAATTTTATCTTTTAAAATCTTAAATAGGTTATAGAAATCAATCATATAACATATTTGAAAAAAATACGACAGAATCTGATCCCCTCATACAACTGCCAAGTATTGCTCTCCCAAATCTCACCAACCAACTTATTGTGTGTGTGTGTGTGTGTGTGTGTATATAAAATGTAACTGCTCCCTCCGATAAGCTACTTTCACTGGTTCCCAGACTTCACGAATTTAAGCGTTCAACTAGGCTGGCATCTCGCTCACACCCTTTCACTGTTGAAACTTAAATGTAGCCGTCTCTTCTACTCCAATAGTTTCATGTCTCGCACCTCTCGCCTGTGGAACTCCCTCCCTTTTCCTGTTTCCCTGATAGCTATAGTCTCCAACTATTCAAATGTAATGTCAATCGACATCTCCAGATGCCCTGATCTATACCCTATCCTTCTCTTCATCCTTTCCTCTATCACTCCAACTCTTTGTAACCCCTTGCGTGCTAGTGGCTTCCCGCCTTGGTTGGGGTGAAATACTAAGAAGAAAAGAAAAAGAGGAAAAAGAAGAAAAGAGGAAAAAGAAGAAAAGAGAGAAGAGAGAAAAGAGAGAAGAGAGAGAAGAGAGAAAGAGAGAAGAGAAAAGAGAGAAGAGAGAAAGAGAAAGAGAAAAGAGAAGAGAGAAAAGAGAAATGAAAAAAAAAGAGAAATGAAAAAAAAGAAGAGAAATGAAAAAAAAAGAGAAAGAAAAAAAAAAGAAAAGAGAAAATGAAAAAAAGAAGAGAAATGAAAAAAAAGAAGAGAAATGAAAAAAAAGAAGAGAAATGAAAAAATACAAGTCAGTTCATCTTTGGGTAATTATGTATGTGTGTGTATATATATATATATATATATATATACACACACACATACATACATACATACAAAGCAGTTAAACTTTGGGTAATTGTTCGCAAATTTATCTCATATGATCAATTATGAATGACTAATAAGTTTTTGCCTCACACTTGCAGCCTTGTGCCAAACTTAGTAAACTGATACACAATTATATAGACACAAACAGGGTGTGGCAGAAATTCCTCCTACTTAATGGTAAGACAATGGTGGTCATGGGGTCTTCATCTAGTTAATATCATACCATTATGTGGGAGGTATTTCTGTTGCATCCTATATATAAAAAAAATTAATTTGCACTTTAAGGCAGTCCAAATGCTTGAAGGTTGACATAATTGAGACCAAATCCCTTTTATTGATTAAAACACAGAGACTGGAAGAAAATGTCTTCCACCCACCACCCCAATGAAAGTTCCTTACTCCACACCAACTGTGGTGACTAACAGCTGTAGAATGCAAAGAGATAGAAGACAATTCCTTTCTCTACAGAATGAACATTTCTAAAAGACATGGAATCTCTAGGAATGTCACTTCCAGCTGATTCCATTGCCTGCCACCAACATTCAGCTCTGATAATGCTAACAGGCAGTGGCTGGAATAAAATTCAACATGTTATTGAGTGAGGGAGATACTTTGGGGTCAGTAGATATCTGACAAATGGTTTTCTTGAAAAAGTAAAAAAAAAAAAAAAAAAAAAAAAAAAAAAAGTGACTCCTTGAAAAGAAAATGAATTTCCTTTGCCATTCAAAATGAATTTTCACAAAAATGAAATACAAGAGAAATATTTTAATGAAATGATAGCTTGCCAAATATAAAAATCTCATTAATATTAACAATGAAGTCATAGAATTCAAAATGATTAATACAGACCAATTTTGCTGCTAAAATACTGTTAATATCACTAGCTTTTTAAAAAGCTTCTTCTGTAGAGGGATCGATTTATTCATTTCAGGTTTTAGGGAATTCCGTTTTTTTTTGTGGGGGGGGGTCCCCTCTCTTTCTACTATGCATTTCAGTTTTCGCTTCATTCTAATCTTTAGTGAGAAAGTAACAACATATAAATGTTATTAAAACAAAAGAATAAAAAAAAAAAAAATGAAAAATATTAGTCGTTGGACTATCCACTGATTGGATAATTTGTTTGATCGGAGTGTTATATAGGAATAAAGTGTCACTGCCAACACTTGGGTTTGAACACAGATCACCAGAGAGCAAACATGGGTGATCCCATTTTGAATAAGTAGATCTTGTGATGGCAAACTAGATGTATATACAGGAATTAGCATGGCATCTAATGGATCACCATTTCTATTCTATCCTCCATTACTATACAGATCACTCTTTCTACTCTATGTTACTATATGGATCACTTTGGGCATCTCGAGGTGGTGTAATGGTTAACAAGCTTGTTTTGCTAGAACAATTACGACCGAGTAGTGAGTTCGATCCTCACTGGGTGCCCCATACTTTCGACCTTGTGCCACATCTGAGCTACGCTTGGAAAATTATTTGGGCACCTCGACGTGGTGTAATGGTTAGAAAGCTTGTCTCGCTAGATCAATTATGACTGAGTAGTGAGTTTGATCCTCACTGGGTGCCCCATACTTTCGGCCTTGTGCCACATCTGAGCTACACTTGGAAAATCACTATTCTCTATACTCTTTTCAGGTCACTATGCCGATTACTGTTTGTGCGAATATTATTGAGCAAGTACTATTAATGCGAGTGTTATTCAAAGGTGTCCGACACCAGTATTGTTCAACGGCGTTACTATAGTTGTATCTGTGAATACAAAGTCTCTACTACAACGAGCATTACAAAAGTGACAATGAGTATTCATTGCCATTACAAAGTGGGGTTTCATACCTAATAGTTCAGCCCTGAAATTAAAGTGGCAAAAACATACAAAAAAGTAGCACCACAAAGTCATCTAGAGGCAAAAAAGCAACATTATCATTTGATCACTTTATTGAAATTAAATAAAATTTTTGAAGTCTAATCCATAAAACTTGGCATTTTGAAATGACAAACTGTCCCCCCCACAACTATGTCGGTCACCATCCACGATTGGAAAAAGGAAGGATAAAACAATTTGCACACCAACCAATTTTTTTTTTTTTTATTTTGTTAAAACAACAAAAAAAAAAAAAACAAAAAAAAAAAAACAAAAAAAAAAAAAAAAAAAAACACACACACAATATTATAAACTATAGCAAGACAGTACATAAGGTGGATGTACTAAAAGATTACTGACTTGATCCTTTGATGTCTTTTGGATGAGCAAGTTAGTAAAGGGAAAGGTAACAAATTAAAATGATAAATCTGATTGTTAAAAAAAAAAAAAAAAAAAAAAAATTCCATTCTCAAAATTGTGATTTGAAGTAGAACATGCTGCTTTTCTTCTATTTCTGGAATTTAGAAAATAAATTCAAGAGCTGATTGTCAGGGGAATTGTTTCAATATAAAAGCATTTACCAATTTGAAACCATTTTATCAATAAAAAATGAGTTAAATTTCCATCAATAATGAAAATTTGAAGCCATATTTACAAAAAGAATTTAGTATATATTTGTTGAAAAGCTAAATGGTCAAATTCAAAATTCACCTTGTGCATTTGTTGGTTGGTTGTTCTTGGTTAGCGGCATATCAACATCTATGGCTAATTATTTTGTACACAATTTTTTTTCTTTCTGGAGATGATAGATTTAGTGATACAAGTCTTACTAATTATAATTAACCCATATCTGGAGGAAGAAGAGGGTGGATTCATACCTTTCCCAAAAGTATTTGCACATAAGTGAATATAACCAACCAAATTTGATTTGGAACTCTGCTGTCCAAGTAAAAATTCAGAGCCATTATTCATTTCACCATCCACACATCCAAGCTTACAGCAGTTCATATTCCCAAACAGTCACCCATCTAGGTACTGACCAGCCTCAACATTGCTTAACTTCGGTGGTCATATGAGAACTGGTGTTTCAATATAATATTACAGTAAGAAGCCCTTTATACCACACCACTTGCACAGCCAAACTTACAGTGCATGGTATTCCCAAGCTGTCACCCATCTAGTCACTCCACTTCCTTAACCGGGTATTGAACTCCCACTCTTTGGGTCCTGTCACTGGATCTAACAGTGGATAAAGGCGTTGGTTAGATCCAGTGACAGGACCCATAGAGTGGGAGTTCAATACCTGGTTAAGGCAGTGGGAATTAACAGGAGATAACTGATAACTGACATCCATTAAACATGGCATGTGGAACTAGAACAGTCTACCCCAGTGAGTGAAATAAAGGGTTAAGTTTGACATTCCAACCACCTGAAGAAGGCTGGAGTGTACAATGGCTGAAACAATGTAATAAATATGGTGATAAAGATGAGGACAATAGTCCGAATAATGTAAATAGTGAACAATTTTTTTTTTTTTTTTTTATTGACCAACAGGTTGAGAGGACAAACAATGTTAGCATATCCAAGATGCATTTATGGCAACAGCTGCCACCGACTTATTTCTGGGTTATTTGGGTTATTTTGTCTTTGGCATATCATACAGAACACATGTGCCTTTTTTTCATGGTAAGTGACTTTCTCTTTTGCCACAAGCTCACTGTACAAAGAAAAGAAAAATGCTACTTCTCCTCTGTAATAATAGGTATTACATTTGTACACAAATTTCATAAAACGAATATTAAATATTATAGGACAGTTGGGAAAAGTAACTGAATATTATCAAAGTGGGTCATTATCTTGTCAGCTGTTGGAAGAAAAAAAAAAAAAAAAAAAAAACGACAGGTTAAGAGGGTTATCATAAACTGCTTTACACAAACCGGTTATTGTTTATCTTGCGATTATTGTTATATTTGGGACATTGTACCCTCTGACCTTTATTCACTCTACAAGGATTGTGTTGTAGAGTAGTTTTCACAGTGGAGGCTTGTATTTCACTCAGTCGGTCCTAAAAGGGTTTGATGTACAAAACATTAGGAACTTGAAATAATAGTTAATGCCGCAGCAATCTAGTTGTGGTGGTTGATACTTTAATGTCCAACATCGACTGACTCACCAATTCACTCTGAGTCCCCTGGCGACTGCTACTACTTATTATAGGTGGGAGAGTCTATTAACAATAGAATAGGTATGTTCTAGTATAACAGATTGATTTTAAATTCTGCTGTTTCAGCTATTAATATGAGCATCCTCATTTTCATCATCTGGCAATTAGCACATTTATCTTTACAGGATTTTTGATCTGAACCCTTTATTCAATGGAATAACAAATAAATTTTCATATATCAAGCATAATTTTGGAGGAAAGATGGATGACAAAGTGAAATAAGTTTTCACATGACACATTTCACCCTTAGAGATTTCATTAGACTAGGTTTGTTCATTTCATTTTTCTCTCCATGCTAGAAGAAACCTTATCAGTTAATACCTATTTATGTGTTTAGTGGCATATCAACACCTTATGGGTCATTTAATACCAACATTTTCTTGGGAGCACTAGTAATTTCTTTTACAAAAATGTATTGCTGAAAAATTCTACTATGAAAATGAACTGCTGGTATTTTTACTATAAATCTTTTTATACTTTCATAGTGTTTTCATCCCAGTTTGAGCATAACTAGTTGCCCATAGCTGGGACCATAACAGGTGCTACCACATTGGATAAAGGTAGACCAGGGAACAGCAGCTATTAAGAGATAGTTCAACGCTCCTCAAAACTTTCTGATCAGTGGCCTTGCTGCAGGATATAGTTTATCATCATGCCCAGAATGAAATACCTACTTGTGGTGCTGTAGTCATATTAGTTGTCAGTTGATATCTTGTTAAAGAAAACATCTGTAGGATGTTACAGAAATTGTTTTGATACTTATCTGTCTTGACAAAGGTCAGCTCAGTGAAGCAGACCTCACAAGAACCATGTCGAATATCCAGTCAAAGACAGTCAGCTGAATGAAGACTTGATAAATGACTTTCTTTTAGACAAAAGCTAACAGGACAAAGACAGTTGGTTATATATAAGATGGTGGCCCCTTACCTTGCCAATACCAGAAGGTTACAACAGAATAAATCTCATAGTTTTATTTCATCTAGCCAAAGAGTTATTTTCCATGCCACAAGCGTTCAACTAGAAGTAGCACTCCAAGAACGAATCTGGTGTGTGGTCTGAACTGCAACAGTACATTTTTTTTTCTTAATTCAACATAAGTCTCCATTATATAATAATCATCCTGGTTAAGACAATAAACTACATCCAGCAGCAAGACCTCTGATCAGGAGGTTTTGAGGAGAGTGGAACCACCTCTTAATTGTTGGTGTTCCTAGGTCCACCCTGACCCTGGGTGGTAGCATATGTTAAGGTCCCAGCTATGGGCAAATAGTTACCCCACCCAAAGTGAGGTAAAAAGTCTTATGAAAGTGTAAAAATAAGTTTTAATACCAGATATACTTTGTAAAAAATTAACAGAAATAAATTTTTCAAGGAAAAAAAAAAAAACTATTACCAGCAATATATTTTTTTAAAATAAAAATAAAAGCAATACGTTTTTGAAAAAAAAATATTACCAGGAAAAAAACCAAAAAAAAAAAAAAACCAAAAAAAAAAAAAAACTTGTTGATATTAAATAACCCATTGAGGTTGATATGCTCTAAAACAAAACAAAACCAAGTGAGTAATTTAAAAAATCTTTATGAAAATAAAACCATCAAAGATTGTAAATTTCCTAAAAGAAGTTGGATTGTACTCAAAAATGAGTAATTGAAAAATGGTTCAAATATATATGTATACATACACACTTTTTTTTTTTTAACCAAACTATCACTAAAAAATTTTGTTGGTATTAAATGACCCACTTAAGTAGATATGCTATAAAACAAAACAACCAACTAACCATATACGATAATAAATGCTGGAAAATCTCACAGATGACGTAGACACTTGAAACAACAGAAATGTGGTTCTACAAGAGGATGCTGATATGTTCTTGTAGAATTAATCAAAAATATTAATTCTTGATAGTTACTTATAAAAATGTAAATTTCATTTAGTGCAACACTGAAATTTAAAGGTGCATTGGCATATGAAAAGTTGCCTCTCCAAAGCTAAGCAATATATTAAGAAAGAGAAAAAAATTTCTGAGAAACTAAACAAAAAAAAAGTACTAAACTACCAAATAATATGCCATCTTATATGGCAGTAAACAGTGGATAATCTCCTCACAGATTATTTTTTTTATGATTTATCAACCCTTTATGAGTTACTTAAAACCAAAATAACTATTCAAGTGTAATTTTTGAAGGGAGTAAATATTGCATTGACGATTTTATTTGTTTCAGAATAGTGATTTCATTCATAGCTCACTTGCTGTGACCATTCCAGGATCCCACAACACATTCATAACCATCATATCAGTATCCCTCTACCTTGAGTGACTCTCTAGCCTTATATTGAGTGGACTTTGTGTCTTTATATAAAAAAAAAAGTATAATTGAAATATGAGGTAAGGAAAATGAAAACAGTTACAGCATATGGCTACCTCAGAAATTCTGCAAGAAGGAAAAAAAAAAAATAAAAAAATAAGAGTGAATGTTATTAACGAGTTTGTATCATTTGAAAACCTCATCCATTATTCAGAATCCTAACAGAAAGCACGTACACCACAGGAGGCAATGATTATTTCCCGACATTGAAATGAGAGTCAATTGCCATGGATTGAAGAATATTTATTAGTGATAGATGCAGATCCCAAGACGAAAGATTTTATCAATACAGGAATATTTTATCAACAGTTTGAAAATAAGGCAATAAAAACAGACATAATGAAAAGTGGATAACTATGATAACTGGCAATACAAAATTAGGAGCCAAAAAGAGGAAAGAAGGAGTGAAAAGGAAAAAAACTCCTGTAGAATGAGGTCATCAGTTATCCCTCGTCACTCATCAGAACATACACACATTCCATGGGTAGGACCCCTCAACTTCTAAAGAAGAGAATTTCTCAACATGTCCTGCATGTATTCGAAAGAGTCAACTGGATAATTTGCATAAGCATCAATAGATCCGGATCTGCAATTGCAAAACATATAGAAAATGGGAAATACACCTTGTCCTTTTAAGACAGGTTCTCAGTTTTGCATAGATCATATTCTCATTTTAAAAGTCCTTAGAACTGGCATCTTTCTTAGTATTTTAAATCATTGTCTAGATGGCTGTACCTCCGATTTACAGTTCATCCAGCCATTGGAACAATTCCTAGTGCTCCAATAACAGGCAAAACTGTCAGTTTTGTTCTGCAGTTTTCTCAGTTCTTTGACAATGTCATGTTTGTCTATCTTTCCACTTCTTTCATATATATTCTGTGATCCGACAGAACAGGAAGACAGCATTTTTTTTTTTTTTTTAATTCCTACTTGATCCAGCCTTCTGGCCTAGATTGTGAGATCAGTTTGAATTTCAAATGCCAAGAGGTAGTTCCATTCTTTTCTTATATTTTTATTAATGAAGCAAACAAAAGGAACAAAAACAGTTGAAAATTCTTTATATATGCTGTTAAATATACATTACTTGTGAAATTCAGCAGCTGAAAGAAACAGTTGAGAAATGAGAAAAAATATTTTGTTTACCCCCCCCCAATAGGATGTGCAGATGGTGTAATGGATAGCAGCTCAGAATGTGAAATTGGAGAGCAGAGTTCAAACGCTAGTTGGGTCTGTTACATCTACTTAAGTGCAAATACTCATGGAAAAGGTATGAATACATTTCCTTCCCATAAGCTATGGTTTAAATATGACTTAGCCTGGAAATATTGTTATTCTCAAAAGATTTTAATGCATTACTCTCTTGAAGAAAAAGAAAAAGAAAAAAGAAGAAAAAGAGAAAGAAGAGAAAAGAGAAGAAAAGGAGAGAAAAGAAGAGAAAAGAGAAGAAAAGGAGAGAAAAGAAGAGAAAAGAGAAGAAAAGGAGAGAAAAGAAGAGAAA